ATTTGCAAGTAGAAAACAACAACAACAACAACAACAAAAAAAAAGACAGCAGAGCAGAAGGGAGCTAAGGGATTCTAGTGCAAACTGGCAAGTTACTTACCTTTCTGAAGCATAAGATATACAACTAATAAGGAGATGGAGTGGAGACTCAACTGAAATTTTACTATGGAATCAATCCCTACTTAAGGATGAGATGTATTCCTGAATAACCTCTTTCCATTTCCCTAAAGATGTTTTTCACTAATAACCCAATATATCTTTTTGTTGCAGCTCTTTCCTGGAGCACAAATAATTGAATTTTATGTGATAAATCTCTGTAGGCTGGATTCATCAGGCTTATATAAAGCTAGCAGAGTGCCAGAGAGTAATCTAGCCAGCACTGAGTTTCTATCATAGAAAACAGGGATGAAATAGACCTCAAGGTATCATCCCATCACTTCTCTTTGCCAATTCCCTTCCAGCATTCCTGACACCAATTAGCATTACCTAAAAAACACAAGTGAAGGAAAATACATTGGCCTCCAAGACAATCTCCTCAAAGGCTAAAAAAGTCTCATCAATCTTTGCAGATTGACAAAAATCAGCAGATGCATTATCTCTTATTTTAGGAATGGTGACTGTCCCTCATGACCTTTCTATAAGTGTACCACAGAAATACAGTTTCAGTGGGGGGTACCATAAAACAAATACAAAAGTTGTTACAAGAACAATATTCTGAGTAGTTCTTAATGACTCACCATTAAACTGCAAAAATATATCAAATGGGTTTTCACATTAATGATCAGAATCCTTGAGTAGACAGTGCACTTAATATGCTTCCGTATAGGTGAAGTGGAAGAGATTGCCTGCACTTTGGCAGATAGAGAGCATTTAAAATGATCTTGACACATCAAGGAAATAATCTGTGCACAGTATTATGTTTCTGTGGCAGTAATCAAAGACACAAATTCAACCTGAAGTACCTCTGTGCAGCAGCTTTGCAGGAAGGCAGCCGGGGATGGAGTGACTGAGACCAAAGAGGCTTTACCAACTCGTACTTTTGCAATAAGATTTCATATGAGGTAACAATAGGAGTATTAATAGTCAAGACTCACTAAGGAAGGTGAGTAAAAGCCTTACTAACAGGAATATTCTGCTGCTAGCACCACTGTTTAGAAACTAGCATTAGTGGAAAGCTCTCAGATAGGAGTATTAACAATTGGAAACAAAAGTGTCAGGGTGAATGTGGGAGGCAGAAATTACAGGGGTACTTAATTAGCCTAGGGACTACACTGCAATGAGAAAATTAAAATTTCCCTTTGTCTTGGATGAAGGAAGAGAAGAAATAATTCTGAAATTAATATAGTTTAGGCATTTTTAATCATGTGGTTGGTTAAGGAAGAGAGGGAGTAGGAAAGATTATAATATCTCAAAAAAAAAAGAAGAAGAAGAAGAAGAACAACAACAACAACAACAACAAGAAAAAGAAGAAGAAGAGAAAGGAAGAGGAAGAGGAAGAGGAAGAGGAAGAAGGAAAGAAACAACAACAAAACACAACATTTTTGCTAGGAAATTTGTAAGGCTTGGGAATGAAGTAGAAACAGTTAAAAGGTCCTTTCTAGCGATATTCTCTGTCTACAAGAGCTGAACATCCAGCTCCTGCTCTCTCAGCTAGCTTTAGAAAACCCCAAGACATATTCTTGGCACAATGTATATAATAGCTCACCAGCTTAGATCATTAATTTCCTGCCACAGACCTCATCTACAGAATGCATGCCATTCTTACCACAGTCAATACTGCTTGCTGTCTCTCACTGACCTCTCCAGCACCACCACCAAAAGCCTCTGTCTCCTGACCTACCTAGTTTGTCTCCATGGCTCATTACCAGAGGGCAGATCCCTGTTCCAAACGCATAAAGTGTATGGCTTTTCATTAAGATTTCTTTTAAAAATTTCCAACCATGATTTTTTTTTTCATCAGCAGTTCTCCAGCAATGACACGATTTAAAAATTCCATCTATTGGCACATACAGAGTTCTCTTTACTCAATATTTTGGGAGTCTGGTGTTATGCCAATGCCATATGATGCAAACGTGAACAACATTGTATTAGGTTGCCCACTGGAGTACAATATGCTATACAGCACGATGCCATGTGTCATCTTTCGTCTGCAGCATGTGAATGGCAATAACCCCTTGAGCCAAGTACATCAGTGTATCAGCATAACAATAGATTTTTTTTCTGTTTCTAATTTAGAGCAGCAAATGGTTTTTATTTTATTTCAACTATAGTTAGTTCTGGTAAAAGAGTTGGACTGATATCCATAGAAAACAAAGCCGTATGTACATCCTTTCTTCTCTGTTATTGCTACAGAAAAACAACTACAAGACACAAATAATTTAAATATGGTGTAGGTAATCTGTCTAATGAAAAAGAAAAAAGCCAAACATTGTTCTCCTCTCTCACTGCTATCTCTTTTAAATCAGTGCCAAACTACCTCCAGCAAAACTCCCAACCACCACCTCCATGGAAAATTGCATAACAGTGCTGAGAACAATTCCTGGTCCTAATTTGCAAGAATAAGCCATACTTTGGCTGAGTGAATACCAGTGTCCACTACTAGTAAGCTTTCAAGTCTCAGGCTTGTCATCCTGTCTGATATTCATTGCAATGCCGGATACAGAAAATTCTCCAGTTACTTCTTGATCTTCACTCTCGCTTAAGAAAAACATTTAAAAAACTAATGAAAACTAAACTCGGAGGTCTGAAATCAGCCTTCAATGTGCAGATGCCAGGCAAGACTGAAATTAGAGATGTCAGGGGACAGACTGCCTCAAAAAATTAACTAGAACACAATCTTATCAGTGCATCCCAAATTGTCTCCATTTACAAAAGATGAATAAAATTTAACACTAAATCAACAGAATGGAGTGATACTAATGGCACAGCTGCCTTTTTATATCTTCAACTGGCTAAAAACTACAAATCCTCAAAGAGGACAACCTGGTAGCAGCAATCTTGCTATATGTATCTTCCCCATCCAGGAGTAGAGAAGCAATAAAAATGTAGAAACATTTTATTAAATGACCTGCCAAAATCTGTCTCAGTTTGTCAGTGTGAAGCCCAAAGATTTCTAGTTTGTTTGCATTACAGCTTCTCAAAGATGCAGTCACTCCAGAGACGCATCGTTCATGTGAGGAAGAAAAGAAAAAAGCTCCTTGCAATCCACTAGACATTCTTGCCTTGCAAATCTAGTTTGCTAGGGCATTGCCTAGGTGACAGTTGTTTTAGAACTTTACTAATGCAGATTAACACTCTGGGCAACCACTTATTCAGTAATTCAAAACCAAACCCTGAATTTTATTATACCAGTGTTCCAGGCCTCTTGCGATTCTGCTGGGAGCTGCATAATCTACGAACATGTTGGCACACAAAAGTGTGTGCTAATTAATAGATTCATTATCACGACGTGATACACATCATCAAATTTTTACATTGTCTTTGATCCAACAGTCACTGGCAATATTACAATGCATGGTAACTACTTTAACTTATCATATTATTATCCTTCTATGCATGTTTAAAATTTGCATAGCTGCAAAGCATTAATTTTGTTCACAGTTGGGGTTTTCTGTACACTGATGTCTCATTTGAGTAGTTAAAAGCAAGAAGTGAAATTTCTCTGCCAAAACTTTTCTTCATGTATTTTCTAAACCCTGAGTGACATTTTAGCTGCATTGAAAATAGTTTCTCTTTCTAAAGAGCAGGAGGCACTCTTGCTTCTGGATTATAATACCTCTTTTCCTTTTTATTTTTTATTTTTAATAATCATTTTAGTCAGTAGAATATTTTAATTAATTATTTGCATGTATCAGTCAACTGCTAAAGTAAAAATTAAAATGCCATTGTATCTTCATACCTTATGAAAGAAGTTCCATATAAAAATAATCAACGGTTGCAGCTTTGCTGCATTAGAGCTTTGTATTTGATCTTTTACTACTGTTGTTAAATATAATTTCCACCCACAAGACCACTGTACCACAAAATCAGAAGGAACGCCCAAGAAAAAAACACTGTGTTGTCACCTTGCCCAAGACAGAAGGTATCAGTTGTTCTCTTGCCTTGGATCTGTATGTTGTTTTAAGAAGCCTGAGGCAGGCAGAGCTCCCTGCAAAGAGGAAAAGAGAAGGAGGTTGGCCCTTCTGAAGCAGAAACACCATCTCAAGGGGAGATGTTCCAGCAACAACAGCGTTTGTCTGCCAAGAGAACGTCAGGCAGCAAGTCTTACACAGCCTCTTTTAACTGCAGTCCTAACTTCTTGTCTTATGTTTTGTTTATTTCAAAAGAGTTCCCCTTCCAGCTTTTTCAAAGAAAAGTGAGAGTTTCTGAGTTTAGAAATCTTTTGGTCCTCCATGGGTAGTTCACTCTGAGATCTAAATAGATCCATTTCAGAGTCTGAGCCAGGTTAAGCTTCCATTGTAGTGTCTATAAAGCAGTGTATCTTCATTGTTGGAAAGTCAGATGATACTTTCCCATCACTTTATATTTCAATGTAAAACATGAACATCACATGGTGTCATGGTCACTTGTTGAACTTCATGCAGTCGGCCTCAGCCCATTGGTCCAGCCTATCCAGATCCTCCTGCAGAGCTTTCCTACCCTAGAGCAGATCAACACGACACATGCGCCTATGGTGTCATCTGCAAACTCACTGAGGGTGCACTCAATGCCCTCGTCCAGATCATTGATGAAGATATTAAAGAGGACCGGCCCCAGTACCGAGCCCTGGGGAACGCCACTAGTGACCAGCCTCCAACTGGATTTGAGTCCATTCACCACAACTCTTTGGGCCCGGCTATCCAGCCAGTTTCTAACCCAATGAAGCGTGCGCCAGTCCAAGCCATGAGCAGCCAGCTTCTTGAGGAGAATGCTGTGGGAAAAGGTGTCAAAAGCCTTGCTGAAGTCAAGGTAGACCACATCCACAGCCTTTCCCTTATGTGTCACTTTGTCATAGAAGGAGATCAGGTTCGTCAAGCAGGACCTGCCTTTCATAAACTCATAGTGACTGGGCCTGATCACCTGGTTGCCTTGTAAGTGCCGTGTGATGACACAAGACACTCATTGATGAGAGAAATAGATTGTATTTCAAATAGCTAGTGGAAAAAAACCTGGACTGGCCATACATATGAAGAAGTAAAATGAAAACTTCAGAATCAGTTTGTTTTAGTAACAGTCAGAACTAGATCAGCTGAAGTAAATGTACCTAAAAAAATATCAAAAATATATGTGTGAAGTTATTATAGACAGAATGGCAACAAAATTTATTAGCTAGTCAACAACAAAATTTCTAAGTTACATTGTCCTTAGAGCTTATTTTGAAAGCTCCAAATATGAGAGAATTATCAAACACAAGTGGGAAATCGCATGGCTTTTGAGTGATTTTTAACATTTATCCAGTCTCATATAGTAGGTTAGCTTGCTCTATTTTTGGCATTTTAATTTTGGCTTTATGGATTTAACTACAAGAGGGTCCTAAACAGTCTTATTTACTTGTATGTTTTAAGTGATTCAAAAAATCTTTCTAGTAATCTTTTGTCAATTAAGAATAATGTTAACATATGTATCCATCAGGTAGTAAAATTCTGCTGAATTTCATTTAATTTTATCCCTGCAAACAGGAGAGTCCAAACTGAGCTCACTCTGACTTGGTTTGGTTAGAGACAGGGACCAGTTTTTTTTTTTAAAGTTGGCTCTAGATTTGTTTAGAAATTTTGGTGTTGGGAAGCACTCAGTAAGTAAGAGCTAGAAATGTATGTGAAAAAACCTGTGTATCTCCAGAGAGCTATCACAAACATAAAGGTACCTGAAGGGATGTCCTGAGTGAATTTAGAGTTAATTTTCCTCCTTGTAGATGCCATGGTGTTGTGTTTTGGATTTAAGATGAAAATAATGCTGATAATACACTGATGACTTAGTTGTTGCGGAGTAGTGCTCACACAGAGCCAAGGACATTTCAGCTTTTGGTACTGCCCTGCCAGTGAGGAGGCTGGGGTTGCGCCAGGAGCTGGGAGAGGACACAGCCAGGACAGCTGGCCCAGGCTGGCCAAAGGAATGTCCCATACTGTGTGGCACCATACTAAACAATAAAACTGGGTGGGCTGGCTGGGGTGGGGAGAATCACTGCTTGGGGATGGGATGGGCATCAGTCAGCAGGTGGTGAGGAATTGCATTATTCATCACTTGCTTTGTACGTCCTATTATTATTATCATCATCACCATCATCATTGTCATCATCATCATCACTATTTCCCTTCCTTTTCTGTCCTTTTAAATTGTCTTCATCTTAACCCCCAAGATTTTACTTTTTTTTTTTTCCTTCCTGATTCCCATCCCTGTCCCCCCTGCAGGGGCAGGGAGGAGGGAAGGAGCAATCAGCTGTGTGGTGCTGAGCTGCCTGCTTGGTTAAACCACAACAAGGAACCCTCTGGAAGGAAGTCTTTTTCCACCTGAATTGTAAGACAAGTTCCTAGATTTCTCTTCATCTGAGCCACCAAACGTAAGCAACAAAACAGATCAGAGGAAGAGATGTGGTCAAAATCTGCAGGTGGACTCCTTGCAGGCACTGTGGTAGCTGACAGAATCGCTACAAGACAATAGGGAGAGAAAAAAGAAACAGCTATGATTAATGCTCATCATACTGTGCATGTTGTTATCTATGAAGCTATCCCTATATTGTAACTACCCTCCTATACCTTATTGTACTCACTGCTATCTTTTCCTCAGTTCAGACAGATGTTTTTGTCCCAAAGAACTACATATATTTTCACATTTCTACTTTATCAGCATAGAGGAGACCCTATCTTGAGCTAGGATAGTTTAGTGCAGCTGTATGGATCTTGTAGGATGCTGAGTTTAAGGATTGGAAAGTAGTTAGTGTTGCTATGGGAACTGATTTCTTGGTTAGTCACACAAACAATGTATTTATCTATCTCACCCTATACTTAACATGAAAACCATTCAGTGATTTTGTTTCAGGGCAACCTGAGTTGCATGCAATGAAGTGTTCAGTTTATAAGAAATGAATCCACTGCAGTAAATAAAATGCTTTTTCTATAGTAACACATTAAATTAAACCAGGCTCCAATATTTTCAGAGGAAAGTTGGATGCACTTGTAATTCTAAGAGCCTCAAGGAATGACAGAGCAATTAAACTTCCAGATCGTGACAGCCCCTGAAAGGCTGCAGGAACTATAGCACCTAGGCTCACACCTAACTAGTATTTGGAAAATTCCCAGTGGCTGTTACTCACTATAAAAAAGACAGAATTCTCTTTTTACTGACCAAGAACTCTCACCCAGCTACATCTACACTTTCCTTTCCATAATGGAGCAATAAACAATTTTGGCCCTGGAGTTAGTTACTTTACATTATCACAGAATCACAGAATGGCTGAGGTCGGAATGGATGTCCAAAAGTCGTCTGGTGCAAGCCCCCTGCCCAAGCAGGTCCACCCAGAGCAAGGTGTCCAGGACCATGCCAAGAGGACTTGGTCCCCTGGAAGATCTCTAACAAGGGAGATCCATGGCCTCTCTGGGCTGTCTGTGCAAGTGTTCATTGTTCATAAACAGTGCTCCTGGTGTTCAGAAGCAGCCTCCTGTGACCCAGTTTGTGCCCAGTGCCTTTTGTTCTGGCACTGGGCACCACTGAAAAGAGCCTGGCTCTGTCCTCTTTGCACTTTCCCTTCAGGTATTTGATCACATGGATCAAATCATCACATCATATGTAATGGATGGTATTTGATCACATGGACATCCATTACATATGATGTCAAAAAAAAGTGAAAATTCCCACAGGGCCAGGATGAATTTTTTTTTTTTTTTGGTCAGATTACATGTATGCTCATCAGAAGAATTTCTGGCATTTGGAAACAAACCTCCAGATCTTGGTGGTAGCTGGTGGAGACTGCACTTGAACCAAAGTTCAAGTTATTTTCCAAGGGGCTGCTCTAAGTGTTAGGGGTTTCTCTTTTTCTCGTACTGTTTCTTCTCTCACACTATCCACTCTATTGAGTTACGCCACACAACTGAGGTAGAAGCACACACTGTGAAGTATCAGTTGGGGACAGGAGTTCAGTGGAGGAGTTTTGATTTCTCCCTAGCCCAAGTGCATTCTACTGTCTAAAATCATTCTTTCTCCAAAAATGCTTGCAATGTATATTGTCACACCTACTTGGAGAATCAAATAATTCCTCACTCAGAAAAAAAATGTTCTATTTTTCCTTCCTAACTGACTAGGTTAAATGCTTGAAGATCCAAGGCAAAAAATAAGGCAGGACTAAGCAGCATTCTTCTAACACTTCCAAGTCAGGAACAGATTGCCAGTGTTCCATGTTTTTGCAGAAGCCATTCTTTCCCCTCTACAGATTTGTTCTCCTCGCTCTAAGAATTAGAATATATACATGCATATCTACAGAAATCAGTGTTTCAGATTCCCTGTATGTAAACGGAGAACACCCACTACGTTTAAACTTCATATCTGTTAATGATTTTATCCATCCTAGAGAAAAACAATCACTGGGAATTTTATTCACATTTTATTGTTTTGAAATTGTTATAAAATGGAACACCTGTAAGGTCTTCCACATAAATTACTTTTTTAACAACCACTGCAAGTCTCAAATCATCATTTGAGGTAAACAATGCAAGATGCAAGTAAAGAGTGGGAATGTGGCCCTTATGCATGTGTAAGAAAAAATATTTGTTTTAACAGCACACCCTCTGAAGAGTGATAAATTGTTGTTACTGAAAAGTAAGAGTCTTGTATCTCATTAGGTTACATCACAAGTGACAAAATATGAGGTTCTTACAGAGCTAATGGCATAACAGCAGACCATCCACAGACAACACCTGCTAGCTACCAGGAAAATAATAAGCACATGATCCCTTGAGATCTAATTCAACAGTAAAACCTACCAAACTAAAAACAAGAAAACCCACAAAAGATTACAGAAGCCCCAAAATATTTCCTGACACACTGCAAAAGCAGGTGGGCAGAATTTAGACTGGTCCCTTGATGATTAGCTACAATATGCAGTATAGTCTGGTTTGAAGATTTACACTTTGACAGAGATTAGAGAACAAAATTTAGTTTCCAGGACTGAGAATCCTAAAACCTGTGCAGTTCTACCTCTTCTTGCTTTCCTCCATTGGAAATTATGATATATTAACTTCCTAGTATTTGATCATTACAAAAAATGACTGGAAACAAACAGCGTTTGTTGTTTGTTTTCCAGTTATCTGGAGAACTGCACCTACAACAAAACTCAAGGTAAGGGAAGGAGATAAACAACAGAATAAACAACAATACCTGAGAATGGAGTGTTAGAAGTGGAGCCGCAGGAAATAACACTTCTACTTTGAGTTCTGACTTCTACTGTTTGTAACTTAAAGTCATGCGTGAGAAAACAGTTTAAAAGTGATTGAAAACAATCCTGCTTTAACAACCTAATATGAACACAAGTGCTTTGCCCTTAGTGACAATAACAAATTGGCAAGATTGCAGTTTTCTAATGTGCATGATAATAAGCTTTGGGGGAGGGAAGTATGGGTGCAGCAGGGAGAGGAAGTATATGGCACTGGGTTCATAGCTCACAATGACTGATTACATCAAATATGTACAGTATGCAATAGACTTTGGCATCATCTTCATAATGTTCTGGCATACCTCAATAGCCACAATGACAATTTTGCTGAAGTATCTGACATGGAACTGGACAGTGTTATTTTGCATCCAAGTTCTGGGCCATTAACACATTTGGGAAGAAAGGGAGTATTTCATAGTACCTGTCGTATTATCATACAGCTTCCTATAAAAAAATAATAATTTTCCATTAACAAAGGGCAACACCGATTCTTTATCTGATCCAAATCCAACTCCCACTGAAGCTGTCAGAAGAAGCAGAAGCACATTTTTCTCATGTGGATATATTTTCAATGATGTGTCTCTCAGTGAACATTATTGTCATTTAACATATGACCACCTTCTTGAAGGTAGCAATTTTTCAACGTGTTTTGAGGAAGAAAAACAAAATCACAAGTCACAGCAGCTTTGAGTCATGCATCTTCAGAAAAGAAAGAAATTACCACTGGCTCATAGAAAGTTTTCCAACACAGCTGCTTTTCCTGGAGCTTTGACAGCAGAGCTGTGCCTCTGAATTATAAACATAGCTGCTGATTTGGCCGTCAGAAATTTGGTTCAAAAATATAAATACTTTTGAACAAAATAGCTTTGGACTGTAATAGTCTGTGAGTTATTGAAAAAGATGTGGACACAATTGGAATCCATTCTCTCCCAAATGCTCAGAAACCACAGCAACAGTAATTATTTTTCCTCAAATGCTTTCAAAGTCACTCCAGCCATTGTTCAGTGATTTGTGGGCTCTGCAGAAAAGCAGATGGTGTGCTTTGACCATTGTTTATTTTACCAGTCAATTTTTTTCCATTGTTGTTTCATCTTTGTTCTTGTGTTTGTTGCATCTGCTCATTTCTTCAGCTAATACTTGAGTATAACCTATAAATTGTCCTGCGCAAAGACAATTTCTGTGCTGTGTGTGGAAAGTGTCTAACAGTGCAAGATAACCCTGTCCCTAATGCAAGTCTCTGAAGGCAGATGTTAGACATGTAACAATCTTTTGGTGCCACGTGCTATGTTGGGTCTCTTAAGGTGCTACATGAAGTTTTTCACCACTGTAATTTTTGTCTTATTAAGAGACCCAGTAAACAGAAAAACACACTTCACTTATTGGATTTCAGGAAAGCAGCAGCAGAAATTGTCTGAAAGATGGCCAGTTTGGCCTTCCTCAGGAAAAAACATGAAAAGACGTGGGCAAAATAAGACAAGATGTTGACAGTCCCGCCAGTGCATTGAGAAATAAGTGATACTGAAGAAACACACATACTCTTCAGTATTTGCTTCTCTGTAAGCCAATGTATAATGGGGATTCACTAATCCTCATCTCTTGTTCTAGTGAAATTCCTATAACTTGCTCTCAAAGTAGGCTCAAAGGAACAGAGAAACTCATGCCAGCCACCTAACTGGAGGCAACCCAAAGCTTTGGTTTCAGAGAATATTTTGATTTTAAGTGACTCACCCACAGAAAGCAGGTAATAACACTGCAGTTTGGTTTTCAACCAGCATAAACAACTACATCTTTTAATTTTTAAACACTTTTTCCTAAATAAATTACTCCTGGAAAAACAAACAAAAAACAAAAACATTTTAAAATGCCCCTGTTTTATTGATTCTCTCTCTTCTACTGCTACTTTTTAATACCATTTAAGAATCAGTATACAGGGGAAGGGCAGCTGCATCTTCTTGATTAGGCTTAATCCAGCTCATTTACTTAAAAAAATTATTTGATCAGCATTTGCATGATGTTCTCCCACTGGACCTCTCAATCTTTAGGTCCTCATTTTCACAATGAATCACAGTTCTAGAGATCAACTGTTCCATTTATGCATTCTAGATAAAGAAAAGATATATTTCTGATGTTTAAAATGTAAACTCTCCATAAATTGCTGGATCATGTAGATCAAATGTGCTGAACATCTAACTGGATTTGTCCTGTATCTGTCTAGGTACCTTCTGTGGCATCACTACATATTAATTCCCTTCAGTTCTCTTACACTGCAGCCTGGAGATTGCCCCGTTAACATATCCAACCATTCTACAAGATGGCAACAGAATAGCCTGGTGGATAAGAAATGGCAGAATGTCCTTTGAGTTGTTATGTAACACATGGCATCAAAATATTCATTTGCTTCCAGAATTTTGAAAAGTAATGAAAATAATGTCATTTTTAAAAGAGATGGAGCCATGATTTTTAAGAATTGTGCTGAATACATTTTTGCCTGGCTGGCTTGTTGTATATGAAAGTGTGTTATTAAAAGCAGCACTGGGTCACTTTATCTTCTTTATCAAAATAAACATCCTTGAACTTTTTTTTCTATGAAGGGTGTAAGGGTATGATAATGAAAAGCTGAAAAATTAGTAACAGATCTTTGAAATTGAAATTGCCTTATAAATGATTATCAGTGATAACAGATGACTTGTAGAATGTGATAATGCATCAAGGAAATGTTTTTTGAAATGCTGATGCAAGCAGTCCTCTAAAATAGACTTTTATTGCTACAGCATATCCAAAAATCTTGTCTTCACTCACTGTACTTCTAAAGTATGTCTATGCACACTGATATCGGCAATGTACCTGGTATATTCACAAAAAATAATGATTTTGGAGGAAAGTGTAGGTGATGTGGCAGGCATAATTTTTGCATTAAACAATGAAACTACTGCTATTGTTCTCTGGACTCTGATTTGTAAAACTTTTAATTAGTAAAACAAGGTTTCTAAAGTATCTATAAATTTTTGGATTTACCATTCTTGGCCTTTCAGATGTGTTTTTTGCATCTGCTCATTTCTTCAGCTAATACTTGAAACCTTTCAGGTTTCAGATGACTACAAATTAATCACAAACTGAAGAAAAATGGATTCAGTTGGGGAAGGGAGAGGGAAGGGTTGTGAGTAATTGTTTTCATTCAGATCACAGTCAAATTTGTGAGATCAATGCAGTCTTAGGCCTTTTTTGTGTAAAATGTGTGCCCCGTTTTTGTTAATGAAGTGTTTTTCAATAACGGCAGGAGAAGAACTCCAAGTAGGGCAATTTAGGTTTCTATTTTATTAAGTGTTTCATATGTTTGGAATTTTCCTTACCTGCCTGTATTGCTCAGTTATGCATGATAGCTGTGTCTTTGGGATTACATTCTTTTCAGTGTTTGCCTACAATAGTCTAATTGGTCCTTGAGACCACACCATTGCTCTAACTGCACTGCAGCAAAGTGATGTCTAGATGAGACCAGTTGGTAAAGTCAACTGAAGAGGCACTGGGAGCAGAAAGGACCTCCGGGGAGGGTGGCAGGGCAGTGCCTTGCCAGTCAAGGCCATGCCACCAGCCCAGCCAGGGTGCTTCAGGTGTAATGACATGCCACAGGCTTTCTGTGCAGCTAGCAGTCACAAATACACTCTGTGCCTCACTGCAAATCCAATGGAGAGCACTGACTCATTCATAGTGAGATCAAGACACATGACATGTCCCTTTCTCTCAACCACATCATCCCTTGTAGCTTGCTACAGAGCTGTTTTATCTCAGGAGTATAAACACAACAGGAAGAGGGCGTGCTTTTCATAATCTATTGTGCCAATAGTAGCAGTTGCCCATCTTCTAGGTTTGCACCATTTCTGTGCCTGGAGAGCAGATACCAAGTGGAAGGTTTGCACTATAGTGAGTCAGCAAGCATGGGCTTCACAGAGGCACTGAAGCTGATGCTAGTTTTCACATTTACCACCTGCAAGTGGGAGAACAGAGCCCCCATACAATACAGAGACCACAGCTGGTTCATTCTGGATATGTGCAGTGTGATCAGCAGCAGACAGAGTTTGTTTAGGGGCACACTGTAAGACCAATGCAGTAGGAGAAGAGGTGCCAGCAGCATCAGCTGCATGTCAGGCTCCCACATCACACTGCCTGCCCTTGCTACTGCAAGACAAAGCTCCCTCAGAATTGAATCTCAGTCTTACAGGGAGATCATATGAGATGGAAGGAGTTAGCTGTGGTGATATGGGGACTGCAGTGGGAAAGAAAGTTGGGAGAGGCAGCCTTTTTCCTTTATAGTAGAGCAAGTTCTGTTCACAGCTGGCACTTGGTTCTTAGTTACAGGGAATTGCACAGAAGTAGTCTTTTCACCTATCTCTACTGAACTGCTAAAACAACCACTCTACAATCATGTTATTTCCAGACTCTACAATTAGGAAAAAATTGAAAGCAGTGAAATTTGCTGTGGTCCAGATGCACAACAGCTATACAGGAGACTGAGCGTGTACACCCGTCCCCTACTACAAAATCCTTAGCTCCTCATCCAAGTTGTAGTCTGACTCTGAACTCACCAATTCAACTCCTGATGAAGCAGATGAAAGAGATTCATTTTAAGCCTAAACTTAAGTAGTTATCGTATGTATCTCCTGAACACCTCAAGGTTTTTTGATCAAAAGAAATGCAAAACCTAATGCTCATTATGTTAGAGGGTTCCTATCTGTGTCTTACCCAGAGAAGGTGCTAGTTCTTAGAGTCACCAGTTACAGGAAGTTGTTTCAAACTTTCTCAGCAGTTGATGCAATTTATGCAAGCCCATAAATTGTGTCAATTCTCTTGTAATGTCAGCCACATTACAAAGGAAAGGAAACAAAACAGGAAAAAAAGACGTGATTATTTGATAGGTACTGTGTATATACCTGACACTTCAAATACTCTAGAAGTCTCTGTAAACTGTAACAACAGCTTAGACAAACATTTATTTTTTCTAAGCCAAATTGTGACTAAATGTCGATTCTGTACTTGAAAAACAGAGAGGTGATCAGCTGGCATCTGACTGAATTTTTGAGTCTGTGAAAGTTTCAGCTGAAATTTTTAGTTTGGATTAATTACATAAACTGAGGATTCAAGCTGTTTCGTATCTAGACATGTTGGTTGCTTTTGTCTTTCACAAAAATAGCATTTCCTGCTAAGAGATAGATGCAGGGAGGGAATGGTGAGTTTCCTATAGAAGCTTTCCAGTAGGAAAAGTGATAACAAGAATTTTAACTGACTTCAAGACAGCTACTGCATACATTTTATGAAACTGGGACCACTTACAACAATGTGAGGCTGGCCTCTATAATATAGAACGTCATTTCTCCTCAGTTAAAAATATTTCACCTTTGGAAAGACTAAATATAAAAACCCATAGAAACCATTCATTTCAAGGCTTTGGATGAGCCACCAGAAGATACTTGACTGAATGTCAGTCTGTCGCTTTCTGTCATCTCTCTCCCTTTATATTCACAAGACTGTCTTCCTTGATCTTGGAACCATTTATGCATATACCATAAACATTTCCTTAATTAGAAAGAAAAGCCTAAAGTTTCTGGTTTTTCTATTAAATGAATTATAAAGGCTGCTCTTCAATGTGAACAATGCATTATCCCATTTTGAATATGCAAGCAAAACCTGAGTTTTTTACTTACTTTCTTCTAATATACTATGACAGACACTTCCATAACATATCTGTTACATAAATACTTTTTTTGGTCATGTTTTGTATAATTTCACCTTGATTTGTTCCACTCACTCAAGTACAACAGAAGAGAAACTGAAGTTTTTCAACATCTCTATCCCACAAGGAAAGTCTGGCCTTACCCTTGATCTCTAGAGAACATCAATTTAGATTTTCAGCTTGAATATTGATGACTAATTTCGTCTTCCTGTGAAGCTGCAGTGGGTGTCACCCAAAGTATAGAACTCCATTCTCAAGTGGGAAAGCAGGAAGAAGATCTGCTCACTTATTCCCTCATTTATTTCTTGCTGAATGTCTGAAAACCAGCAGAGAAGCAAACACACTAAGTGAAATCCTGGACTTTCTGACACAAGTAAAGATTTTGGCAGGTACTTAATTCGTACACCATCGTTTGGAAAATCATTTTTGCCCACCCAGAAAAGGGTATTGCTGTAAGGTATTTATGGTCTTTGCTCCTACCAGGATCAAATCCCATCTTTGCAAGACAACTCCCAAAATTAAACAGTATTCTATGATCCATTAAATCTCCATTCCACAAAAGTTCTGAACTCACAAATCTACCTTGGGGAATGAGAAATCCAGTGCAGTTCAGTCTATGTGAATGTACATACTGCTCATGTGCTCAAAGTAAAATGCCTTGTTGGGTTTGGCAATCGCAGTCAGTCCCACTGAGACTTATGCCCATTTTTAATGGAAACCACAAAGAGCTTAGCAGAGTTGTGTGTGTGTGTGTTTGTTTCTTTGTTTTTTTACTGTTAGTTAACCTCACAAGAATGTTTAGGTTGGTTTTAAATCTCCATCAACCATTCCATGCTCAACATACTGGCTGATACGAACAACCCTTTTAACCAACTGCATGATGAGGATGGTTATTAGAGTTAATGACCATCACCTAGATGATTTTGGATTAAATTTGCATCCTACATTAAGACAGAAAGGACTTTTTCTTCCTTTTCTGTTAAAACCTGAAATATAAGTCTTTATTAAACTATTGTACTGTCAAGTGCTTATTTTTCCCTGTTTTCAAATATGCTTTTTTTTTTTTTTTCATTCACCCAAGGAAGGCTTCACAACAAACAATATAAAAGAGATATTGGGCATTTAAACGGCAGCAATACAAACTGAGATATATAAAAAAAAAAGCTCCAGACTTATAAACCTTTCATTTTTCTGTTTCCATGGCAAATAAAGGCATTTTAGCCCATTTCTAAATGACATGTCAAAGAAGAAATGACATCTTCATCCAGTATTTCTACAATAAATTGATGAATTCTCAAAAGGAAATGCAGCCTTAATAGGTGTATAAGTGATCAGTATAGAGAAGACCTGATTTGTTAGGACTTTCCACCTAAAGGCATTTTCAACATCAGTTTTTCTTTATTAGCAAATGTTGACTTTTTAATGAGATCATTGCAGCAGTCTCCAGTGGTGCTATTTCAGTTTGTCTCCAATTATAAACTCAGTAGGTCACAGCATGGAGTAAGAAAAAAAAAAAAAAAAAAAAAGAGGAAGAAAAAAAAAAGAGGAAATAAAAGCACACTGAGAATCAAACTTATCAGTAGTCCCATTAAAAATACCAAGTACAAACTTTGGAATGAGGGAGCAATCTGTAGACACAGTTCAATGGTTTCATTTTAAACTGAAAGAAATATTAACATGTTAATTATTAACAGGGTGATTAAATTTGATTAAATTTAAGCTTTGTTTAAACTTTGCATGTCTTGGGGTTCCACTTGCAGAAATACTCAGAGTCTGTCTCAAGCATTCCAGGGGCATCACCTAAGCCTGCAGCAGAGGAATGCCAGTCATAGAAACACAGCCTTTAACAGTATTCCACAGTAAGAAGAAATAAGGATGCAGACACTTTAGCATTTTAGGCCAGATAAAGAATGCACTTTTGAAGAGAATTTTCCAATCTCCTCCTTGTCTGTTGCTTCATGTTATGGAGCATGCTCAGACCCCAAAAACTATTTTCCTTTTGAATGTCACTGGAGATGTAAATGCTTCCCATGGACTTCCCTAATGCACTCCAACCACTAATGACACTCAGCTCTGAGGGCCAGACTAGCACTTGTTTGAAACCACCTCCCAAACATGGCAGAGTGCTGACATCAGGCTTGTAGCATTAACCTTTTCAGTCTGCAGGGCAGCTCCTACCAGGCTATGCTACTTAGGAGTGTAGACACAGCTGAAGTGTAACATGACAAGAAACGACTGCAACTCTGATGGTGTAACTACATTGCTGAGAACTTTTGCCTTGACCTTAAGCTATTTTCTATTGCTCTTGAAAGAACTCAGATATTTTAAAAACCCACTCATTAGCAGAGCTTCCTTACAGAAGGAAAAGTCATCTTTGCAGCTACCTAGTTTGCAATTGCAGTGAAGGATGGAAAGGTCACAGGAAATTAACATTAATAGCTGGAACAACTCAAAGCACTGTTTTGCCCAAATCACAAGGGGAGAGGGAGGAAGGACAGGATAAATCGACCGTGAATACGTTTAGACTAGAGATCAGAACAACGCCCCATAACGGCATCAGAAGTTGAAAGCATCCCAGAGGCTGCTGCTATTACTTATTCTAGCCAGTTCAAAGATGGAGCTTGATCATAATTCTAGCCAGTTCAAAGATGGAGCCTGATCATATTTTGAAAGGGATTATATGACATACCTGACTGTGAATACAGTAAATTAGACCCTGCGGCCCAGTAAATCTGTTTTGTTCTAATTTTCTCCCAGGTTCCTCAGACAAAGATGTACTGTGGGCAAGAGATAGTGTGATTATCAGCAGAGATGAGGACTTGTTACCACCCAGATCCTGTGTTACCGCTGCCTTAGTAGATGAGGATCAGCACAGTTCCTTCCCTTCAAACAATCCCTTGGAACCTGAAAGAGAGGGCAGGACAAGGCAGCATAAACAAACCAGCATAAGCGAACCAATAGCCACTGCTGTTTCATATGTCACTGCCTCCCTTCCCCAAGGATTATTAACACCATAATGGATGCACATGTAAAGCTCCTGTAAGAAGCTTTATGGAAGACTTGCTATCAAAATCAGGGTATTTTAACTACACTTATATACAGAAGATTACATAAGTATCAAACTTGCAAGAGCTTAGGTAAAAACACCCTTAGTGAACACGGAAACAAACAAACAAACAAAAAAACCACCTGCTTTGTTAGTGTATAGAGATGCACATAATTTTCAATGGCAAAGGATTACAAAGGTAATTAGAAATTCAAGTTTTTATTCAAAGAGCTGAAAATGCTTCACAAAAAGGAAAGTCTACATTATTTCCATGTTTTAATGCAGACACAAGATGAGGAGCGCATTCCTTCACCCTCATTAAAGACGAGTAACCTTCTGTGCAGATGGCAGTACTGTTCCCCTGGGGTACAGAGAGCCTGTATAGAGAGCACTGACCTGTCCAAAGTCACAAAGTGAACTGGTGCAGTCAAGAACCTCATCGTCATCCTCAAGTAGCACAGCTTCCCATATGCTTTTTGCTTCCCTGCAGCTGGTTCCTTTTTATTATATCTCTTATTAACTGCCACCAAGTCTTTATCACAGGTTTTTCTTTAGCAAGGTCTGATATTCAGCTCAGCCAGCTCTCCATAGGAAGTAGCTCCCTGTGCTGCTAAGGGGAACATGTGGTGAAGCTGCACCATCATTAAGCATAACAAAAAATGAAAGGCTTCAGGCTTATGATCACTGGGAAAAGAAGGTTTGACACAGCAGAATAGAGGCTCCTGAATATACATCCTTAAAATACATTTAAGATCATCCTGTACCATTCTGTCATCTTTGTTCTGCAAACTCCAGCCATAAAAGAGACTTGGGCTCATCCTGAAATATAAGTTTCTTTTACTTTAATTTCCTCAAGGACGTTGCTCTCTTTTTCAAGACAAGGCACATTCTTAAAGTTAGAAGGGAAAAAAAAAAAAAAAAAAAAAAAAAAAAAAAAAAAAAAAGGTTATATCAACATTACACGAAGGTGAAAGGAATTTGTATAAATGTATATCATATTTTGATTCCAGGCACTTTGACAAAGAATCTGTTACTGACATGGCCATTGCAAAAGAAAAGAAAAGAAAAGAGAAAGTGAAATAGGAAGGCAAAAAAAAAAAAAATAGATCCTATCCACTCTTCAGACTTGAACAAGAGAAATTTTAATCAACACTAGTTTCTGCTCATGGTACTATTCATTTAATTAAAGCCATCTTACAGATTGGATGAACTGCATGAGGATGAACTGCATATTGATCATTCATACTTGAAAATCACTAGGGAGGGTAAGCTGCAAACAAAACTCAAAGGAAACTTCATCTTATGGTCTGACACCATAAGTCCAGAAGTAAAACAGGTGGCTTTAGTTTGTAGATGGTCTCAGATTCTATTACGCTATACTCACATCACTTAGGAGAGCCACAGAGGCAATCCTTTCTTCTGTCAGGGAAAGCACATGAATTTCCACATTAATGATGAGAACACAAACAATCACTATATTTCAATTTGACATAAAGTATTTGAAGAACATAGCTATAGGGAGTAGATAAAACTTCCCAGTTGTATTCAGATTTGTCATTATGAAGGAAACTATCAAAAACAATTTCAGACCCACCATTTGGACAATAATTTTAAGAAAACTGTCCCTCCAATGGCCTTTCCTCAAAGAAAACTTTGCAAAGGCCAGTGCAGTTGTTCCTTCCTCCTTCTGTGCAATTAAAACTTTTATAAAATAAGGGTTTCTTTTAACGGTGGTACTATAAAGGAACATAAATGTCTTGTCAGGTCTGAGGTTTTTTTTGTTGTTGTTTTTGTTGGGTTTTTTTGTTTGTTTGTTTGTTTTGTTATCTTCAACAGTGGTGCACCCTACATGCCAAGACCTAAAGTCAAAAGCTTTGCCAAGTCACTCAGTGAAGTTTCAGTTATTTTTCCCCTACATGTGTCTTTTCCACTCCTTCAAATTGTTTGTCTTCCAACTACACCTCATCTATACCTCAACATTAAGTATCATAGGTATCGTTCAACTTTTCTGCCAAGTCTGACACTCCATTCAGCCAACATGTTAGATCAAATAGTGTCCTGAGCCTACAGGAAAGCCTGTGTCGTACTTTGCCACCACTGAGCACATCAAAAAAGTTAAAGGCCATCACAGCTACAACAGAATGTTTTGGCAGCAGGAGTGCTGGAAACCAAATAAGTAATTGAGTGAGAGAAAAAAAAAAAAAAGAAGTACGTGCAGAGAGAGATGTTCAAAATTCAGCAAGCAGGTGTGAAAACTAGGAAACTAGGAACAAACGGAACATGAGGATCCTTCACTGGACAAAAAGCATAGGGAATCATTCCTCCTGAGGCCACTGAAAGCTTTGTCACTGAAATAAGGGGAATCTGAAGTTTCATACCCAGAGGCTTAGTATTCCTCTCAATAGTACCTGTTTTTACAGTAATGTGATTTCCTCAGCAGAGCAAAGATCAGTGTTTGTCTGAGCCAGCAGCAGCAAGAGTGTCTCTGGAGAAAGTGAAATACTACATTAGTGTATCAGAAAAAAAATGTTGAAAGTACATGGAAGAGGCAGGTGTTTACTCTTCCCCCATAATTTTAGTTTATATCAACTGTAACACTTAGTGGTTATTTATGTCCAGCAGTGAGCCAACACGTCAGTTTGGGGACCAGTTAGCACATTTTAAAGGCTTTAAAGGACTGCCAAAGACTGCAATAGCAGAAGTACGTTGGTTCTCAGCTCACCTCTAATCAGCAGCACTGGGAGAAGTCATCATTTCCCTACTACAAGAAACACCTACCAAGTCTTTTCTGTATCAAATACTAGTTTTTGAATTCTGGATGAAGTTTAAAAATCCAGAGAAAAATCATAGTATTTAAAGACTTCTATCTTCTTGGCTCTTTTCAGGTTTAAGGGTCTCTATAACATTAAAAAAAATAACCACTGACTCACATTCAAGCAGCAGAATGACTTCAGTGTCCCCACCACTGCCTACAAGCTACAAGACTTAAAAACAAGTTATATTTTGATGAGATGTCTGCTACACAGAAAGAGGAACCTGCAGACTGATTGCAGACACAAGCAGTAATCAGAGAGCGCACCAGTGTAATTACTTGAGGAAGAATTTCTAAAATTATTTACTTATACCTCATTTTGTTATGTAGTTGATACAGCAATATCTCTACCTGCCAGTAGTGATACAGATCTTCAACACCTGCTGTACAATGACCCGTGAATGAGGTGGGTTGCAGCTGCACAGCTGGTCTGCTGCAAGTTTTACAACCAGGTTATTACCACAGAGACCTCCACCACAAGCAGTTTGGATCCACTAGCTGTGCTGTGAACCAGGACTCAGAAGCATTGCACACTTGGCTGTAGCATTATATTCATTAGTAGTCCCCGCACTAAACTAGCTGCATGGCTCCAGACATTCAGCCTTTAATTTGCTCCCACCCAATGCCCTCGTCTGGAGACAGCACCTAGTGCTGCTCCTGGCCTGCACACAGGATGCTCTCCTCCACTGCCTGAGCCCAGAGAAGGCTGCCATGACCTCAAAAACTTCACCATCAACTGTTCAGCCAGTGTTGTGGTTGATTTACCCAGCTGGGCAGCCAAGCTCCACCACAACCACTCTTTCATTCTCCCTCCTCAAAGGGAAAGAGGGAGAAAATACAATGAAAACTCAAGGGTTGAGACGAGGACAGGGAGATCGCTCAGCATTTATCATCACAGGCAAAACAGACCCAGTGTGAGGAGATTAGTAAAATTTATTGCCTATTCCTAGCAAGCTAGAGCAACAAGAAACAAAGGAAATAAGCTAAAGACGCCTTTCCCCCATCCACCCTCTTCTACCTCCGCCTGCTGAGCAGTGCAGGGGAACAGGGAATGGGAGCTGCAGTCAGTCCCTGGCACTTCATCTCTGCTGCTCCCTCACAGTCCCTCTCTGCCCCTGCTCCACATGGGGTCCCTCCCAGGGATGTCGTCCTTCCTGAACTGATCTTGCATGGGTTTCCCACAGGCAGCAGCTCTTCAAGCACTGCTCCCACACAGCTCCATCCCACGGGGTCCATCCATTCCCCAGGAGCAAACTGCTCCAGCACGGGTCCCCCACGGGTGGGGCAGCTCCCCCCAGACCCCCTGCTCCTGCGTGGGCTCCTCTCCACGGGCTGCAGCTCCGGCCCGGAGCCTGCTCCTGCGGGGGCTCTCCATGGGCCGCAGCCTCCTCCAGGCCACATCCACCTGCTCCAGCGGGGGCTCCTCCACCCATGGGGGGGCTGCAGCGTGGAGATCTGCTCCATGGGGGACCCATGGGCTGCAGGGGGACAGCCTGCTCCACCAGGGGCCTCTCCCTGCACAGCCCGCAGGGGAACTGCTGCTGCCTGCCTGCAGCACCTCCTGCCCTCCTGCTGCACTCACCTGGGGTCTGCAGGGCTGCTTCTCACTCTCCAAGCTGCTGTCGGACTGCATTTTTTTCCCCTTTCTTAAATCCTCTCACACAGAGGTACAAACAACAAGGCTTATTGGCTCAGCTCTGGCCAGCAGTAAGTCCCTTTGGAGCCAGCTGAAACTGGCCCTTACCTATCACAGGGCAGCTGCTGGATTCTTCTCAGAGAAGCCACCCCTGAATTTCCCCTCTACCAAGCCCTTGCTATGTGAACCCAATACAGGTGTGCAGCACAGCTGAGTGCTGAATCTGATCCTCCTTTCGATGTTCCTTGATAGTGGGGGTCAGTTTTAGTATGTACTAAAACTAGGGGAAAATGAACCTAAGTTCTATATTATGGATTTCTCTGGTGAATGCAATCTATAGTTGCAAGTATTTATCTGACAACTTATTTGCACAGCATATTCAGCCTTTTTTTTTTTTCCTAATGTTTAGAGCTGTATTATTTCTAACTGAAAGGACAGTTTATAACTTTCAACAGCCACTGCCTAAATTACATGATTTCAGGTGTAGAGACATGGAAGCACCTGTGGCTCTCAATAAAATAATATCATTCATTTATATTTGCAACAGTTGTAGAGTAAAACATTTAGCACTGACATGGGGCTCTCTGCCAGCTGCATTCCAAATGTCTTACACAGGAAGGGAAACATGAACGAATGAGGAGGAATGAGGCAGGGCAGAAGTCCCATACGTGACCACACAGGGTGCGGGTGCCCCAGCGCCGGCAGGGGACTGCAGGGCTGCAGCATGTGGTAAGGCTACGGCAACCCCAGACAGTGGTGCCAGACATGGCTCCAGCAGCCTCACCTCAGGGCACAGCTGGGCCCCACAGATGAGATGAAACCAGGACACAGTGCCTCAGGAAAACGGGTTTAAGAAAGGGGAAAAATACCAGAGGACAGGAAAAGTGCAAAACAGCAGTGTGAACAGCAAGGTTGAATAAGAGGATGTGGAGGAGGTGCACCAAGGCAAAAAAGATGTTCACACTGCAGTCCATGCTGGAGTCGATCATGAAGGACAGCATCCCATGGGAGGGACCCCACGCAGGAGCAGGGGAAGACCAGGAGGAGGAAGGAGCAGCGGAGTGGAGCTGTGGTGGACTGACCATGCCCCATGCCCCGCTCAGGGAGGGGTCAGGTGGAGGTAGAGGAGCTGGGACAAAGGAGTAAAACTGAACCTGGAAAAGGGAAGTGGAGGAGGGGTTGTTTTAATTTTTATCTTTGTTTCTACCCATCCAAATCTACTTTAATAGAAAATAAATCAGCTTTCCACAAGAAGAGTGTTTTTTTTTTTTTTTCTCCAAGATGGTAACTAGCAGGTGATCTCCCAGTTTTTATCTCGACCCAAGAGTTTTCTCAAACTGTTTTCTTCCTACAGCCCTCTGGGGGAGTGGTAAGAGAGCAGCAAACTGGCTGGTTGCCAGGGCTGTCCCACCACAAGGACTTACTGAAGGGCACGCAGCAATTCACTGTAGCAAAGCCAAGAACAAAACACAGCCCTTCTGCTTCCCAGTCCAGTGGATCTTACTGTTCACATGCTCTCTAACCTCTCCCTGGATACAGCTGCAGAAGGACAACCCAATTCATACAGATTTGCACAGGAAACATCAGCCAGGTACAGACAGGGTGCAGTAGCCAACACGAGCCCTGACGCTGAGACTAATCCATGAGCTTGGGCAGTCCAACAAACTTCAAAGGAAGCACTGCATTGGCACAGTGTGGCTAGGGCTTAAGAGGCCTTACAGTTGATTTCAGTAAGTGTTTTTGGCACACAAGGCACATCAGAAACATTTCATACAAATAGCATCTGCAGAGTGTCAAGAAGTCATGTCAGAATAATGTTACGTTATTTTTGCACACAGATTTATCACCTGCAGTCCATTCTAAAGGCCTAGCTGTTGTACAAGGCAAATGTTACAGAAGAAAGTACAGAAAAAGCAAAAAGACTTTTACAAAAATTTTACTAAAATTTCTACATGCCTTCTAAACAGCCACCATGCACTCACCTCTGATGTGAGATACAGAATTTTTTAACTTTTATGACATATAGGTAAAAACAGTCTCTCAGAGTACATTTTAATCTAACCAGAATGAAATCTCACTATTATATCTACAGCATGTAGAAATGGACTCTTTTCTAATTCAGTACACTAAAAAAAAAAAAAAAAGTCACCATATGAACACTGGGTCTCCAAAAAATGACTAAGTAGCTCATCAGCATGGACAAGCACTCCAGTCTAAAGACATTTTATGGCTTTTTGATCTGTATAAGCTATCCACTAGGACAGAACACAGATGAATCTACTGCAGCACATGGTTACAAATGGCCACAGACCACATGAATTGCCTATCATTTTCTACATTTTTCTGTGAGCAGAGGAAGAGCCAGTGGTTTTTTCTAAGCAACTTATGAGGCTTTTATTCCAAATTTCCAATAAATTCAAGATGAAGTTTGGTGGAATATATGTCTTGTGCCTTGTTGTTAGGGCACAACTGATTAAATAAATTTTCAATGTGTGCAAGTGGTAGCAATTTACCCCATGGTGGAAGATGAGATAAAATGTTCATGGACTGAAGCTGCATGTTTTCAAGATGAAGCCAATATGATTAATTGTTCAGTACTTTTGCTTCATGCATCTGTGGCTATATTCCAGCACTTTCTAGGCTGCTGACAAAAACAGTATGATGTGCTGCAGCAGTAGTAATACTTGAGGAAAGAATAAAAGTTTTTGCAAGTTTTCCTCCTTGCTCCCATGCCCCTCCAAAAAAAAAAAAAAAAAAAAAAAAAAAAAAAAAAAAAAAATTACCAAGAATATTCTTGATCAGGTATTCTTGATCAGGTTAACATCAGGAAAATATACTGTTCTTCGTACCACACTATACCATGCCAATGAAAATTAAAACAATTTACCAATGAAAAGTAAAACATTAATATATTTCTGTGGATGTACACTGTAACATAATCAGGGATGTGATCTCTTTCAAACTAAGTATTTTAAGATGCATTTTCAGCAGGCTAACACAAGTGTAATGTTACAGGTTATTGTTTGAATCTTCTGGTAATAGAATATCTTTGATTTTATAACAATGTATAAAGGCTGTGAAATAGAAAAAGCCACAGAAAAGTAGCAACAGGATGAAATGAAGTTTGGTCATAATAATTTGTGCTGAGTCTACAAGACAGAGTACACAGCCAAGAATTTGAGAAGAGAACAATATTGAAGTATATTCTAGTGATCTGGAAAAGATCTAAGATCAATACTGATAACATTTATACAGTTTAATGAGGAGCATGGTAAAGGCGTAACAAAAGGCAAAGACACTGAACTTTTAAAGTAATCCAATAATTATAGTCACATGTGATTTTGAATTTAAAAAAATAATATTCATTGTGTGAATGCCTCAAGCAAGACAATGCATGTCGCTGTGTCTATTTTATCTCTAACAGTTCCTAAATAGGTGATGCATCATTTGTGTTCTTCATAAGTAAAATTTAGTGGAGGAAAAGAGCTTTTAAAGTTCCTTACTTTGGTAGTTTGAGTAAGACATAAACTGCATGTGATAATACAAGACAATACAAGACAACATTTTCCATCTGCCACTTGTATTCCATCAGATTATACTGCAAATTTAGAGGTGACACTATGCCCCAGTGCAGCTATAATATAAGTGTATTCTGTTCATTATTTGGAAGTTAAGCAATAAATTTCTAACATTTGAGAGGTGCTCTCAATCCAGCCAGGTTCCAAGCCAGCTGTTTTATTTATACTGGAAAGCACCCCACAATCTAGGTAGCCCTGCTCACCTCAGTGAAACACAGATTTGGAAAAGAAAAGGCACATTCTTAAGTAAAGCACATGTCAATTAAATGAACATCAGCTAACTGAGGAGCTGAGTAAACTTAAAGAATAAGGGATTGCATGATACTAAAAGAGGCTAAAGAAGGAGATAAATAAGAACTATATAATCCACTTCTCCCTTCTCTGAGTGTTCACCTGAAACGACATCCCAGCTGTTAAATGCACCTAACTGGCATGCAAACTACATTTACCAAAGAACAAAATCATCTCTCAGCTTACCTGTTTATCCTACTGTCAGCTCAGAAGGGTCCTGTACAGGTACCTTGTCTTTCAGCTTTGGGATCAGCAAGACTGTCCCTTAAAGGCTCTTGTTCCTAGGACATGGTTGACTAATCATAGGCTGCAAGCTCTTCTACCACAGTCTCCCAGCTTGCCCATTTGCGTGTCACTTCAAGAGTTCCCTGTGGGAGTGAGTACGAGAGGGGCAAAATCTGTAGATTTACTTCACTCACTCACCATTTCCAGCTAAACCATTATTCTGTCACTTTAAGCTGCACACCCTTAAGGCTGATAAAGCAGAAGATGAAGAAAAAAAAAGAAAAAAGAAAAAAAAAAAAGATCATTTGCACAAACAAAAAACACACAGGAACTTCTGTGCATATAGGAGGGAGATCTGACTGGAAAACAGCTTATTGAAGCGGAGAGAACTGGCTATAGAAACATTTGCATGACTAACAGCCTGGATACCATTCCTTTTGATATGTGTTCTTTGTCCTGCCCTGTGCAAGAAGGGACACCTGGGTGCGAAAATAATACATGGCTAGTTGTATTTATACCCACAAGATGTGTCAAATATATCTATTTGACTTCTAAACCAGCTCCAAAATTCATCATTTCTAGGTATAGTTCTGCTGTACTCTCTGCTTCAGTATTTAAAGATTACTCTTGTAATCTTTGTACTTTATAAAACATCATGAGTTTTTAATAACTTCAGTTTTACAAAAGACCAGATAATTTAAATACTTTAGACTTTTACACTTGGTGTCACTTTCATTGGAGAAAGGTCAACTAGAACGTCATATTGAGAGAATATCAATTTTATTTTGTAAGGGACAGGTTTTATCATTCTATGCCACCCTTTTCTTGTTAAGTGTTCTCACTGATTTTAGTAGAGATGCTTAATCCATCAAAATCCTCAGAAGACAAGCAGTGTGTGTTATGCAGCATCTGGCCTTACGTACTTTTTGAAAGCTAAAGGAAAATGTTGGCTTGAGATCAACAGTCCGGTCTGCCATTTATTCCACATTCAGCAAATCAAGCAGAAACACAACCTTCCACTTATCAGCTATACCTGAAAACGTGGCCGAATGGACAAGGAAAAGAAAATACCCTCCCCATTACCACTCTTTCTCTCTCTCTCTCTCTCTCTCTCTCTCCCTTCCCCACCCCCCTTTTTTCTTTAAACTACTTTGGACAAAGTCCTTATTGCCAAATCCTGCCAGTGTTGAGTAACATAGTCATTACACTGAGATTGCTCTTGCATTTCAAATTAAGACACCAATCAACATCTTGGTGGAATCAATGTTAACAGACCAGTTCTTAAAGACCCTGTATTTCAGTAATTCACACAGGCTTTTTCACTTTTAATGATCATAGGTTTTATTTCCCACATTAAGTCGTAGATTCATTTTTTCCTTGACTCTACTCAGTTTTCTGTATATTTTTAGAACAACAAATTGTGTTTCATCTCTGGGCATACAGCCTTTCCATAATGAGAATCAATCACTGAAGATCATTCTCATCTAACTTTTCATGTAGGTTTACTTTTTTCTTAATTGCATCCAATTACTGTCCTTTGAAAGTGTGTTGGACATTCAGAACATGCTCAATTTCATGTCTCAGCACACGTCTTTAATACCAAGTAGGAAAATGGTCTGCTGCTTTTAAACAATTAATAGCTTGACATAATTTGAAGGGAGATGGATATCACAGGTGGTTGTTCATGCTGAAAGTGCAAGTAGCAAGGAATGAATAACATCTTATGATGCAGCCTAAACATTTCTATGTTGCAACGAAAACATAGTTTGGAGTAGGTATTAGAATTAAGTAAATCTCCAGGTACAAATATTGAAAAAGAACAGCTTGCTATTTTTTAGTCCAGAACATCTAGTTCTGACAGGGATGAAAAGAATATGATACAAAAAAATGTTAGGGAGAGGATACTCTGTGTAAATTGACTTATGTAAAATCATTAGTTACCTAGGTTATATCTAGCATGCTAGGCATGGACAAAAGCATGTAAGAACAAAGTAATGCAATGAACAACTTGATGAATCCCAAATACTTTTAGAGAGAATAAAATGCATGCACCAACTTCCTTGAAATCACAATGCATGGTTGTTTACACGGTTTACCATTTCTTTTAGGTGCTTCCAACTTCACAGTTCTTTCTGGCAAAAGAGCTTAATTTCTAAATATTTCTTAAGTAGCATTTTGCTTATTCATTTTATATGATGAATGTTGCACAGAAGACAAAGCAAAATAATTGAAACTAAAGTGGTACCTCACAGGACTAATTACTGTACTAAAGAGAATTTGATAAAGATTATAACAAAAATGGTCAGAGAAAGGAACAGATGGTTTGAATCACTGCCTGGTTTTCTACACAAAATCAACACATTCAGGGAGAATTCCTGAGATGGCCTAAAATGCCCATCCATATGAAGTCAACAATGTACACAATTAGAAAGCAGCTCCCGTTACAAAATTCAAGCACTTTCCTTCAGATTGCATTTGTTTCTTCCTGTTCATCCCCCCTGTAGACTTAGACAGCCACCATTCTCTGCGTGACACCTCTTTCACTTTAGACTATGCTGCTGAAACATGTTGTTTCAACTGCTGTCCTTCTGATGCACAGTGGTTGTTTTTTTTTTTTCTTTAAAAAGAAGCACATCCTACAGCTGGACACAGCCCTCCATCTGGAACTGCAGCAGCCCCAGACAGAGCAGCATTGATATTTTTCCTCCTTTCTCAGAGAATAACCACAGAAGAGTGTTTGCCTCCTTAACACTGGTATCGTTTAATTGACTTGAATGCTTTTTTGCCTTACGAACATTCTCTGAAATCACTGAAATCAAGCCTTTTCACTTTGATACCAAACCGTGACAACCACTCAAGGAATAGTCGGTTTCTAATCCATTGTAACTGCAAAATATTTCATTATATGACTGTAAATAATGTCTCATAGAGCACTCTCAGACTGTGCACAAAGGCAAGATAAGTCACACCCTGCTTCACCTTCTTCCTCAGTAAGCCATTTGATATAACAAGGAACAAAATTGTATTAGCCTATTAGATATTAAATACATCTGTTGGGCTGTGGACTTTTTAAATTGGTTTATTTATTTATCTCATTATTTACATTCTAGGTGCTTATAAACAATACTAACTTCTAATCAGAATCTTTTCAAGGGTCAGGGTTAGACTGATAAGCCAACACTTCAATAAATGCCTCTCCTTAAAAGACTAAATGTCATCATGACAAATGATTAGGCAATTTGGGCACCTAATACATGCAGTTACCTAAGTTGTGAAAGAAAAAAATACCTCCCACAGTTAGTGAGTATACCTTCCATTGCCTTTCATGAGCAGAGAAAAAGAAACACTGCAGGATGACAGCTTTCATTGGTGGCTGGTTGTGGTGGTTTTACCCTGCTGGGCAGCTGAATTCCACCACAACCACTCCTCTCTCACTCCCCCTCCTCAGAAGAAGAGGGAAAGAAGACAAGAAGACAGTATGCCGGGGGGGGGGGGGGGGGAGGGGAATGTAAAATAAAATAAAAATAAAAAGTTGTGATAAGGATAAGGATAATTTCATTAAAGGCAAAAGGAAGAGGAGAAAAAAAAAAAAGCTACACAGAAGCACAGTGTTCAGCCAAGTCCGGAGAAGCAGGGCCTCAATACTCATAGTGATTGTTTGAGAGGACAGACATCTTCATAGGTACCCCATACTGCCCTACTTACCCTTCCCCATTTTTTTTTTGCTGAGTGTGACACCATATTGCATGGAATATCCCTTTGGTTGGTTTAGGCTATCTGCCCTGGGGAAGCTCCCTCCCCACCTCTTGCTCACCCCCAAGGAAACTGACTTTGGGGAGGTTTGGAGAGCGTCTTGATGCTGTGCCAGAACTGCTCTGCAGAACTGCTCCGCAATAGACAAAACACTGCTGTGATACCAATGCTGTTCTAGCTACAAGTGCAGAGCATAACACTGTATGGGCAGGGAAAGATAACTCCACCCCATCCATACCCAGTACAACATCCACCGCATTCCATAACATTTACTGGAGGGTAGGAAGGCCCTGCAGAGTCACCTGGACAGGATGGGTCGATGGGCAGAGGGCAATGGGATGAGGTTCATCATGACTAAGTGCCAGGTCCTGCACTTTGGCCACAACAACTCCATGCAATGCTACAGGCTTGGGGCAGAGTGGCTGGAAATCTGTGCAGAGGAAAAGTATCTGGGGACGTTGGTTGACACTCACCTGAACATGAGCCAGCAGTGTGCCCAGGTGGCCCAGAAGGCCAATGGCATCCTGGCTTCTATCAGGAATAGCGTAGCCAGCAGGACCAGGGAGGTGATCATCCCCTTGTGTTCTGCTCTGGTGAGGCTGCAGCTTGAGTACTGTGTTCACCTTTGGGCCCTTCAGTACAAGAAGGAGATCAAAGTCCTGGAGTGTGTCCAGAGAAGGGCTATGAAGCTGGTGAAGGGCCTGGAGCACAAGTCCTGTGAGGAACAGCTGAGGGAACTGGGGTTGTTTAGTCTGGAGAAGAGGAGGCTCAGGGAGACCTTACTGCTCTCTGTAACTGCCTGAAAGGAAGGTGTGGGGAGCTGGGGATGGCCTCTTCTCACAGGTGACTAGTGATAGAACTAGAAGGAATGGCCTCAAGTTGTGTCAGGGTAGGTTTAGGTTGGAAATCGGGAGACATTTCTTCTCAGAAATGTAGGCATTGGGATGGGTTGTCTGGGGAGGTGGTGGAGTTATTCTCCCTGGGGATGTTTAAGGAAAGGCTGGACCTTGTGCTTAAGGACATGGTTTAATGGGTGACATTGGTGGTAGGGAGATGGTTGGACCAGATGATCTTGGAGGTCTTTTCCAACCTTAATGATTCTATGTGTCACACTCACATTCTAAATACTTTTGTACATAGGTATTCACATCGCCACAATTCTCTATCCTTTAACAGATACATATATAGGTATTTCTTTACATTCTATTGGCCTCTCCCTAAAGGTTCATAAGAACTGCAGATGATTTGGGCTTCATGTTCCAAAGTGGCCACTCAGGACAGGCAGAGTAGGACTTTTGGACATCAGTACCAGCTTAGCTTGAGTCGTTGCTGCAACTTGCCAGTTGCCTTGTGAAGTTGACCGGTCATTGGTTCTGCAGTGTCTTCCTAGAACACATAACTTAGATTAAAGATTAGTTTTCTCTCAAGGTTATATCTCTTTGATACACACACCTGATATCCCCATAGTTGGCATGTCCCACTCAGTCCTTGAGCAAAGACAATCCCATGAGTGGGCTTGCCTTTTCCTGAGGCAGGTGCAACCCACACTCTCTTCCCCATCCACTTCCCTACATGCACTACAGGGACTGTGGCTCCCCTCACAGTGTGTAGGGGGTGTGTTTCAGTAGGACAAGCACGGTTGTTGGATATTCTGGTGCTAACTAGCCAAGTGGTTTCTGGTAGGTTCACATCCCAGCTTTTCCATGTCCAGCACCCAATGCTCATAACATAGTCTTTAACAATCCATTATACCTCTCAACCTTTCTGTATGCTTGTAGGCTGTAGGGGAGGTGATACACCCATTCAGTGCCATGCTTCTTGGAGATTATTTCAGGCTATTTCAGACAAGGTTATTACAGAAGTTATTCCCATTGTCTGACTCAATTCTCTTAATTCGAAATAGTTCCTCTTTCAAGTCACTTGACATAGAGGGCTAACAAGATGACTATATAGCCTGGAACACTGGTACTTCATACTTGGTAGGTAATATAGGTAGCTAATTTAATAATCATCCACTTATGCATCTGACATAACATAAGCCATTATGCATTAAAAAGCTTACTAAATCCTTAAAAACAACGCAACAACAAAAAAACTCATCCTTACCTGTATATAAAAATATGCACATATAAGATAGCTAAACAGAAGATACCAAGCTGATGAATTATGGTTTTCCTCTGGATACAGAATACTTAATATCAGACAGAGCAGTTGGTCTTGTAACAAACCCATTCATCAAACAAAAAATCCATTGTACTCTAATTTTCTTTCCTCTATTCATTGTGCCTTTCATCCCAATGAATTTTTTTATCCCAACTTAAAAGTCTCCAGGAGCAAGTTCAGTAATGATTAATACCCTGTACATCTACATGAAATATACGGCTTAAATTATAGTGCAGACTTTTGTCTAGTGCATATATAAAACAGCACTGAACCCCAGGTTAGTTCTCTCACCCTTAGTAATAACCCAATCCCTACCAGGGATAAATGACTGAATAAATCAGCACTCCCCAAAAATCTAAATCAATATTTTCCTCTTAGGCAGTAAATCAGCTTCTATATGGGTTGTTGGCAATTCCCTACAGAATATGAGACTGGGATACATGGTTCCACAATTATTTTCTCAGCAAAGAAAACCGAACTATATTGAAGTATGGACTGAGGAGAATACTACTTCAATTTCTAATGTAGTCAATCATTTACTCTATCATTAAGCTAACTTAATGTGTACTATTTTTGCAACCTTTTCAGCTTCTTTCCTTGATAAACATAATCAATAGGCTATAATGAAGTGATACATTTGCACTGACAGTTTAGTTAAAATATGAGGCGTTTCCACCATGGTGATTTATTTTTATTTACTTAAAAAAAAAAAAAAAAAAAAAGTTAACTTTTGAAAAAGTGGAAGTTTATATTATTGCAATTTGGCAAGGTTTATGATTATCATCATTTCATTTCAGCCTTATTCAATCAGAACACATTTGCTGCTGAACATTCAAGGCAAGAACTGATCAGTATCACAGGTCAACTGTAAAGAAAAATTTGTTACAGCTTTGCAACACCTCTGAAATTGTCATCTCTTCAAGAAGAGAAAAAGGAAAATTTTCTCATTTCAGTTTACTTAGCCATTTCACAAAAATGTTCTGCTAGCTCTTATGTTGTAAAACATTGCCTAAGAACAACTATAGATATTCTTTACACTGTTAATGAGTTTCAATACAAAACATACTTTGATCATTTTCCTTCTTCCTTTACATATCTGGAGTACCTTAGATGGTTTCACTTAGTTAATATTTATTTACAATATAGGTCTTCACATTTGTAATTAACTTACAGTTTCCATCTCCATATAGTTACACAGAAATGAGAAGTCAAATAGTTCCTCTGTAAATGGTTAGTACCAAAAAGATATTCATGACATAATCGAAGGAAAGACAACTGTTTGGTAAGAATACACCAACAAGTAAAATGCAAGCTACTAAATAATAATAAAACATCTGATTTAAAGGTAAAACAAATGAAAGTGAAATAAGCTTAAACACAAATGCAAAGCAGCAAAGTAGAAAAGGAAGCACTAAAGAAAATTCAGAGAAATGCAGAAATCTGCCTCTCCTGAAGACTGAGATGAAGGAAAAAAATAAAATGTACACAACATAGCAACAGAGAATGGCATAAAAACAGATTAGCTGGCCAATAGTTAGGTTAACAGTAGTTAATATTAGCAAAACTTGGGACTCTTTTAAGACAGCAAGACCAGTGAAAATCTACCCCAAAGCCAAATTCCCAGAGGTACAAATTCCCAGTCTGCTGAGAAAGTGTTTCACATGCAGCTTTTCAGGATACACAGAGACCAAACTGGAAAACATCATCAAAGATCTGAGAAGAAGATGAAAAAAGGGTCAGGTTTGGAGTTTTGCTGTTACTAGTTCTATTTTTCCAGCAGGTTCCTCATGCTGGGGGCTGTGGTGTTCCTTGACCAGGGCTGCAGCTGGTGATGCAGAGGAGCAATCAAACCCCACAGCATGCCTGGGAGGCCAGTGGGGTGGGGACCTGCAGATGAGTCAAAGCGGGCTTGCAGTTGACTGACACAAGTGAGGCAAGGCACCCCTTCCCTGAGACTCATTGGCTTGACATCGATTTTTATCCATTGAAACAGGTTGAGCACAAAGTGGAAAGCACCAACCACACAAAGGCACTGATGGGAGAGAGAGATTTACCTGGAGACCTTTTTGTCTCATCCAGCAAACCTGAATTTGTTTTATTTTAAAAGCCACATCATTTTCATTTGTGTTTTAGTCAAATTAGTGATAGAAATTAAAAGCCTTCCTGTGTCTGGCACACCTTGCTTTAAGGAAATGATACAGGATGGGTTCAATGTTTGTCACGCTTGTGATATGAGAAATAACTGATTTGTCTTGCTCCTTGCCAGAGCTGCTCTCTGGCACTAAATTTCCTTCCAGTGAGCCCTGTCTCTCTGAGGAATGAAACTTGGGAAGGCATCCCATCCTCCCCACGCTTCCCAATAAGCCACTAAACCAGCAGTCTGGACAACCTGCATTCCCAGAGCCCCTACTACTACCTTTGAACTTATGTTAAAACTCCCTACTGCATAGCAAAAATCACCATGCTCCAGCTGGTGCACAGTCTCACTAAGGTCTCATTCAAAACACTTTCTCCTCCCCAGCCCCTAAATACCGTTTCTTTTTAAAGGAAGAGCCCACTGCTCCATTAACTGGCAACAGCTGTGTAGACAGTATCACCAAGGCCAGTTCTGCATGGGGTAAGGTTTCTTTTTAAGACTAAAGTTTTGGCAATAAATTTATTGATGTTCAGATAGATGAGTAAGGGAATATGTGGATCAAATTGGATAAGATGAGAATGCTACCATCAGGTCCAAAAAGAGGGAAAAAATGCCCAAAATAAAGGTGGGAAAGCCTATCTTGTTTCATGAACAAAGTGTTCCTGGAAGTGCCAAGCAGAAAGCATAGTCTATTCTTGACCACACTACAAATTTTAGCAATACTGGCATTGCTCATAGAAAAGAACCAAGTCCTAAGAGGACCAGTTAATTAGGAGTTTAAGTACTTGGCAGGAGGGTTACACAGCGTAGCCTGCTTTTAATCCAAAGAACTATGCATTAATTGGGAAAAATAAACCAACTTCGCATTATCTGGGGAAAGGATACAAACAGGTAGTTCCTTATTAGCTAGAAACACATGTAGACTAAAAGCCAGTTTTTGTTTAGTAATAGACATTTTGATAAGCATCTGCCAACCCCTGGCTGCCAACCGCTGTCCCAGTGAAGAGGAGAAGGATACGGATCGTGAATGAATCCTGTCCCCGCAATGATTCCTCTTACAGAAGTCAATCCTGCGCTGCAGAAGAGCTGTTGGCAAACATTTCCCAGTTACCCACCAGAGACTTGAATTTTGCAATATTAGAAAATTATTAAAAAGCTCATGTGAAGAGCAAGAGACAGGTTATATTCAACAAGAAAACCTCACCAACTCCCATGGTCCTTGTAGCATTAATCCAAACAGCAGAGAGCGTGTTGTCTTCACAGCATGCAGAGACAAGTTCCTGGGAAAGGTTCAGCAGTACCTTCAACAGGCCTGGGAGCAGCAACACTGCTGAGGAGCACCCGGCCCTTCTCAGCTGCAATGAAAGGTTGAGATATGAGAGGCCAGGCAACGAAAGGTGTTTCTGACACTGGAGAAGTCCCTGCTGTTTCACCCGCAGCCCCTGGAATGTTTTTGCTCTTTGCTAACCTCGGTGTTCATCAGAAAATGCTCCTGTGACACAACTACTGCAGGCAGTGAGAGGCCTGAGTACTTGGCAGTGTATCGGGCCACAAGGTGCTAGAGAAAATGCAGGAGAACTGAAGAGTGTGTGACAGAATGATGGAGACACACTCGGCAGTGGACGCCTTGCAGCTGAGTGGTTCTGGAGGTGACAGATGGCACTGATAGCCTTCAAGGGACAATTGCTGGGATGGCATAATGGAACAGTAGGACACAGCCAGGAGCAGGCTAAAATTCTCTATTAGAAATATTACTTAGTTATAGGGATGATTTTGAGAAGATACCAATGAATGTAATAAATTCATGCCAGCAGATACCCCAGTGCAGAAAGAAATTTATTTCAGACAAAAATAATACAAGGGAAAGAAAATATATACATATACTGCTGTGTCCCAAATTAACCTGTCAGGGAAAACAGTGAAGGTTTATTGATCAAGGAATTAAAACATCTCTGCTCAGCAACAGACAGAAATAAAAGCAAGCAAACAAAATGTTCAATTAAACAAATAAAGACGAAATACTGAAAATTATATCCTGTCTAGTCCAATATACAGCAATTTAATGTGACTGTCAAATCTAGCAGCACTTCTTTCAAACAGAGACATAGAGAGGAGAGTACAGTTATGCCACAGATTGCTGTAGGCACAAGTAGGCTTCATCCAGTTGGAGACATAGACACGTGAGAATAGATTGAAGTAAATTGGAACTGTTCAATTAGAGAAAGAACAAGAATGGGTGTAAGAACAGTGAATGACTGGAAGAAAACAAAGCCAAGTACGCTTCATGAATCTGAAAAACAACAATTACAAAACAGATAAAAAGGAACTTTTTCCTATAACTGGGTTGAATTGTTGGACTACAGGCCACAAGACAGGAAAAGCAATGTGGTGAGATTCAAAAAGTCATTACGATATAGCTTATGAGAACACCCATAGCTGTCATTTGTAAACAAAATGGAGCAGATTTGAACCCCAGGTTTTCAAGACAACTGGTTATTCCAGTAACTATTCATTGAATAACTTCTGACATTTTTTTCCTGAGAAAGAGACAGTAACTTCTATCAGAACAATACCAGACTGGATGGATTATTCATCTAATCCAGAAAGACAATTACCTATTTTATGTACTATGTTGTAAGCATAATCTTATTTATGTCCTGCTGTTCATTGCATGTAACTCTGGTGTTTTCCTCTTTTCTTTTCTTTTCTTTTCTTTTCTTTTCTTTT